CTTTAGGAATAGTCACCCACACACATTGTTCCTAACATGGGACCTCAGCCCCTCTCTGTGGCCTGCAGTGGACATTCCCCCACCCCCCACCCCCCGCACCCTCTTCAGCCCCTCCACACATGAAGCCTCTCCTGCCTCTGCCTCTGCCTCTGGGCCTTGAACTTGCTCTTCTTTCAGTGCGGAATGCCTTTCCCTGGGCGGGCTCCTCTGCCTGCGTGGCAGCGGCAATGTCTCTTCCTCCGGGAGCCGCACTGGCTCCGCTACCTGTGGGCTCATCTCCCTCCCCACTGTCCCCTCACTCCCTTCTCTCCCTCTGCCGGGCACTGCCCTGCCTCTTGTTTATGCAGTTTCTTTCTCCGAGAGGGCAACCAGCGCACAGGCCTGGGGCACAGCAGGCAGGCGCCAGTAACAGAATGGACGGAGCTGTACCTGTCCTGCCCCCAAAGCTGCCCTGTCTCTGGTCGCCCGGACCCTGACATGCTTGTCTGGAGGCCCTGCTGCTGCGTGGTTTCTGCTCCGAAGGGAAGGGGTGTTCTAACACGTGCTTTGTGAAATTAATCACTTTCCCAGAATGTTATCAAGGACCCCAGTGTGCCTGGGTGAGTAGATCTGGGGGTCAAGGGCAGCTGTGTGCCTCCCCTGGGCACAGGGGGGCCTCCTGGGGGGCAAACACTGGCCTCTCTGGGGAAGAGAGAGGCAGTCAGTGCTAAGGCTGGTGGGATGACGACAAAAATCACAGGTCTTGGTCTAGTGTGACAGAAGGCTTCTGGCTCTCCCACCTGCATAGCCCTGTACCACCCGCCGTGGGCACAGCCCCCCCTCTGAGCAGACGGTGCCCTGACAGAGGACAAAGGCTTACCGAGGATGAAGGGCCCGGCTCGCTTCGCATGATTTCCGGAGATGCCACTTCCCAGGGCCTTTGCCTTGGCTGATGTCTCCCCAGCTCCTCTGTCCGATGCTCTCCGCTTCATTCTCGGCTCTGTGCAGACAGACAGACAGGTCCCTTTTCAGTGAGCAAGCTACCGAGTGGCCCCATGCTAACCAGCACCCGGCTGTGCACGCCTCTGGCTCAGGGCCGCTGGGGATGCCTCAGGGCGGCGACAGTTTCTGCCTCTTCCTCCCCTTCCCGGAGGAGCTGCTCAGTTCCCAATGGCAGAAAACGAGTGCTCTTGACTTGAGATTCATTAGGGGCTCAGGGTGCGTGCACTTCGAGGCGGCCTGCGCTGGTCACAGAGGAGGGTGCTTGTCAAAACGCAGGCAGGGGGAAGCCTCCCTGTGTAGGTGGTGAGCCAAACCGGAGCCCGAGGAGACCGGCACTCCCAAAGTGAGGCTTCCCTCTGCCTGCACCCCACTTCATCTCTAGGGAGCCCGGGGACACTCGGGCTCAGGACATCGGAGCCACAATCCTGAGGCTCCTCCCAGGCTCTCCTTGCTGTCTAGCCTCCCTCGGGTGGGGGACTGTCCACAGGTGTCTGGTCACCAAATGCGCCTCTTCCGGACACATACTGAAGGGCAGCACTAAAGTCTGGGTCAGCTGAACGGGCCCTTTCCCTCAGGCGTCAGGAGGAAAGGCAGGTGCGTGAGCCAGATCCTGGAAGGCAGGGACCGCTTGACTTGGATTAAGAATAAATAAATAAAAACAGAAACATGACGTTTCTCCTCCTCCCAGCCCCCCAAAGTCCAACCCCAGGGCCCGTGGAGCCCAGGGCCCAGGGCGCGGAGCCCTCCCTGAGGAGGTGCTACTGGAGGCTGTTCCGCACAGGGCGGACAGGGGCAGGATCCAGCGGACCGACAGCCACAGGGAGGGAGGGAGGAGTCATCACCCCCCAAACTTCTAACTCTGCCTCTTACGAGAGTCAGTGGTGTCCCCGGCAGGAACGTGAGAGAACAGAGGCACAGACAAAGCCGCCAGTGTCCATCATCTACCTGCCCACTAAGGAGGCCCTGGCTGGTGCAAACAGCTAAGTGCGCGACCACGAGTTGAGAAGCTGCCGACTCGGGGCCTGCTACCTACAGCTCCCCACCCTGGAGGCGCTTGGTGGCCAAGAAGCACAACACCTGACTCCCCAGGTGGAATCATGGGAAGCTCCGGGCCTATGGGTGTGAATGGGCACCCATGGCTTTCGCTATGGCACAACTGTGCCCACACTGGCATGCCTTCCGTCAGCTCCCTGCTTTTCCTAACTGGAATGTCATGAGGGTGCATTTGATGGCATGTGAAGCATGTAGCAATGAAGCTGTAAAACACACACACACACAAACAACTGTTATTATCCCAGGGTGACGGTACTCTACAGCCACTCACCAAACAGATCAGCGTTTGCCCCCCCCACCCCCACCCCACCCATGGCAGCCAGGCTTGTCCTTGTCATACTTTAGGAATAGTCACCCACACACATCTTGGTCAACGTGTCTGGCGCCCAGGCGTGGACAGCCAGGTGCGGTGGAGTGCCGTATTCAGTGGTGATGGGCACACACAACCAGGCTGCCCTTGAGGAGGCCGCGCCAGCTCCCGTCGCCCCCATCACCGTGCGGGCCTGTGCTCCAGGACCACGTCCGTGTTCTTCAAAACCGTCAGCGGTGCGTGCTGTTGCTCTGAGACCTCCCTGTGCGTTTAGACGCATGCTGGGTTCCTGTCTCAGTTTTCACACCGTTACACTCTTCACAGTGAGTCAACAGCAATAAAACACTGTCCCGCTTCCAGGACTCAAGTTGCCCTGCCCCTATCTTCTCAGCTGTGTTAGTGCCACTGCTGGCCTGCTGGCATCACACACGTCATAGAACGTGTCTCCGTGGGTCATAAGTGCTGTCTGTCCCTGCCAGGAGGTCCCAGGGGACCATTTCTGCTCAGAGCAGAAGGGATGGCCCAGGGCAAGCGTGTCTGGCCTCAACTGGTCAGCACTGTCTGAAATTTTATGAATTTAAGCTCTACGCTCCATTTTTTTCCCTTCCTCTTGGGGATCAAAAAACCTCACTGCCCTTCAATCAATGCCTACTAAGAGCGACTCTATAGGACAGGACAGTTTCTGAGACAGAGCGGCTGGTGGTTTTGATCTGTGGACCTTTCGGATTGCAGTCCAACACACAACCACGATGCTGCCAGTGCTCCTCAGGGTCAGGGAGTCTCTCGATTCCGTTTTCCATGTGCTTCGCTCAGAACAGCCAGCACGTGTTGTCACTGGCCGCTGCGGGGTGGGTTCCGACGCATGGTGACCTCCCTTACGTGCATGGAGTTGGGGTGCAGACCGCCCGGCCTGTCTTCTGAGGGATCCCTGGATGGTCGATGGGTGCTTTGCTGGCATTACGTACATGAGAATCCTTCCATTACTCGAGGTTGGACTTGGTGTGCATCTCCTCCCGGGAGCCCTAGGGCCCTCTCTCCCCCAGTTCCCTGGGGAGGGCCGGGAGATGCTGCTGCCCCCGCACAGGCATGGTCTAGACGAGTTTGCCAGGAGCAGCGGCAGCTGACAGTGAGTGGGAGCAGCCTGACCCAACCGCCTCACCCAGGATTCCACTCCAGCGATGGCACAGGAATGGCTCCAGGCCGCCGGG